TATATTCCTCCACCTATAAATACATACTTTATATTCCTCTCTTATTTATTCAATCAATAAAACATTATTTATTATTTTTACACTATTCTTGTGACAGGAATGACGAATTTCATGGAATCTGATGGTGTTTTCGCTTCTGTTTGTTCATTAAGCTTCATCTCGTCAATATCCTGATAAGTACCATGATTTTAAACAACGTTAGAAGGCGTGGAATGATCCTTGAATAATTTGATTCACATATATTTAAAAATATAAATATTTTTATACTCATGATCACTAAACTTGTTTTTGTTGTTAAAGCTTCAAATAAATTGGTTAAAAATGATCTTTAGATGTTAGAGATCATTTCTATATAGTTAAAATGATGTTGGACATCTTATAATGTTGTTTTGAAAGTTTGGACCATTGAAGAGGATGAAATACTGTACAAATCAATTCGTTGTGACACAACGATCAACTGCCGGGCAGGAAGGGTAAACCGCTGCATGTCCATTAGCTCCAAGTGTCGCGGTGGTGGTAATGGTTGACCGTCGCCTAGAAAAGGTCGACTATCTCGGACAATTTTTTGCATTGAAAACTCCCAAATTGAAATCTATAAAATCCTATTTTGTTACTTTTCAACAATAAATCAGTCTTGTTATCATTACCAAGTTAAAAGTAATGTTTTGGTTAATTCTAATACTCAAATTGATGCATGGCGGTAAGGTAGAGTGGTAAATGTTGTTAAAAGTTGTAAAGGCCGCTACTTGTCATTAAATTGATTCTAATACTCAAATTGATGCCTTAGCCAAGGCCATTACTTGTCGTTAAATTTTGTATCATGATTATCAATATTGATTACGCCTGTGTAAATATAATTATATATTGACAATTATGAATGTATGTCGATCAATCGATGAGTATCAAATATTATGATAAATTGATTATATAATATTGATGATGACTTTACCCTCATTAAATATTGATATATTATTAACATGAATAAAGTGGACTACATGATAAATGTAATTGGGATTATTATTAATATAACCATATGTTTGTATGATTAAAACGTGGATGATTGGGATTATTGAGTATTACTATGATGATTTTTATGTTTTGAAAAAAACTCAATAATGATGATATTTATTAATTGATTATTAGGGCTATCTAAAAGAATTCTAAGATAGACCCTATGTGACTTAATTGGTTTGAGCCTTGGCGGGTATGATACCTGGTGACCTGGGTTAAAACGTACGCATGAGATCTACAAACTAAACTACAGGATTACTCGTTTGAGGATACCACCCAACCCGACGGTGAGCTGACCTATTCGATTTTGAGCATGACCTATAAGACTTGTAGGATAGCTCTTGATTTTGTATTCTGCCTTAAACTAAATGAAGTTTAAAAGTCTAGTTATCTATAAATCTGGGTTAAATAATTATAGTTTAAGAGATTTGTGATCAATATAAATTAGTCTTAGACTAAGAATAGTTCAAGAGCATTGTTATGATTTGGTGTTAGGCTAGAAGAAGTTAAGAATATTAATTTATATAAAGTTATGATGTATATTGTAATAGCTAAAATGATGAAATTGTTGTGAGTTGTGGATTTACATTTGTACAAATCCGAATAATGGATATTTTGAGTTGGCTATATTCATTACCACTGTTAAAATATCTAAGATGTTTTTTAAATATGAAAAAATGAGTGTTTGAACACATATATGTGAGTGATATTGTGATATAAATTATTCTGTGATTTTTTTTGTTGTTCCATGGTACCACTCAGCATCATTGCTGAGTGTGTAGACTTTTTCATCTTTCAACACGTAGGTATAAGAGAGAATAAATGTGGAGCCTATTCCGGAGAGTAGTGAGATGAAGGTGTTGTGTGGATGTGCACAAACTTACTATTTGAGTAAATTACAATACTGTAGTGGGATTCAACTGAGATGTTGCTGTTGTTGTTGTACAATACTGTTGTAATTTGCAAATCGATTCCGCACTGTTTTGAACAATTATACTGTGATATTATTCCAAAATATTTTACATAGTTGTTTGAAATAAAGTTTTAAATGTTTGAAATTTTTACGTTGCAAAGTTAATACTCTAGTCTGAAAGGGGCTACAGAACTGAACGGATTAGGGTGTTAAAGAATGAATGGGTAGATCCAGTAGAAGCGGTGGGCTTCTGTAACACAACGAAAGTTTGTCTAAAAGAAATAAATAAATAAAATAATTAATCTAGAGTGTGTAGGTCCTTGGAAGCCTAAAAAATAAAAGTATTAGGAAAAAATATTTTGAATATATCGTTAGATTCCATTTATTTTTTTGAATTCAGAAATGTAATCGGTTTCAAAATCAAACATCTTATATAAAACAACCAAAATTATATCAAATACAATAAATTCTTCTTGAGCAACATTTCCCACTTAACTCTAGTTTATCTCTTATGCGACTAAAGTCTCACTTCCTTTTCCTAAAGATATTCATGGATGGCTCATCAAGGAAGAAAAACAAGTCATTTCGAACCCATCCTACACCTAGGCTTGTATTTTCTATTTTTCTTTTTGAAAATAAATTCCAACATGTGAAAGAGGAAATGATGAGGTCTCCACAATCACAGGCTTGTAAATCCCTATATAAAGACCCCAAATATCCCTTCATTTTACACTCTTGAAGCTAAATGATATCGTGTAAAAACTCTCCATCTTCTTCCTCTAACTTGCAAACTCTGTTAATGGAGTTTTGAACAAAAAATGCTAGGTTAGTGAGTATATCTCATTTTTATCAATATTATACTAATTTTAATGTTCCTTTCATGCCCTTATATCTCTATGACATGAAGAATCGAAGAAGAAGACGATAAAGAAAAGCTCGAAGTAGATAGTGACATCCTTTCGTTGACCATACATGAGGTCTTAAGATCATATTTGTTCATATTCAAACTTAAGGTCTTTACCCCAGACTCGTTCCAACGTTAGATCTCTTAAAATATTTTAAAACACATGATTTCATATACATATATGCTATTATAAACTAGTCTGGAAATGTGCAAACAAACTCATTATAAATTTCCTCAAAAGCCTTTTGCAAATCCTTTGAAGTATGAAGTTCTTTGGTGGCCATGAGACAAAGGTTTGTGACTTCCTCGTTGTCTCCAGTGGAGTCATCTCTAGAGTCCGCTTCCAATAGATGTAAACCGATGGTTCTTTTTTAAGGGCTTTTTTCCTTCTCATTCTTGAGCTGATGTCAATACGATTCGATGTATCCGACTTCACTACATCCATAGCACTTCAGGGGTCCTTGCTTCTTGTTCTTTCATTCATGTTCTTTCTTTATGAACTTGCGGAATGTTTTGTTGATGAGTCCAAACTCGTTGTCATCATTGGTAAAGTCTTCCATTTCTTGTTGATATGACAAGGTTTCTTTGGGAGTTCTCCCCTTCCTTTTCTTATCATTCAAAGAGTTGTGAAGGTGAGTAGTTTTATAAGGATACTACCTTGAGCCCCACAATTATGACATTGCTTGATTCTTTTGATTCATGGATGATGTTGACCATTGATTGTCATCTAAAAGTAAGACTTCGCATGATATTTTGTACATGCTCTTTCTCTGTGTATGATTTTTCAAGAGAGTCAATGACGTTGACAATCGCTTCAATGTTTTTTTTCTTCTTTATCCTAAAGAGAGCTCATATTAAAGTTATGGTTTATAAAATTAAAGTTATGGTTTGTTCGTAAAATTAAAGTTATGGTTTACACTATCATTGGGCATCTTTGGCCTTATGTTTGTATTTACCTTTACTTTTGTCGGCATGCCTTGTTTTGTTTGGTTTGGCGAGTCGCCACTGCTTGATGTTTGGGGTGGCTTTGGCCTAGCCCTTGCTCACAAGTATGCTCGTTGTATTTATACATACATTCTTTCTTCAATACAATTTACAGGTTACCCCCAAAGAGAGATCATATTAATGGGTTAATTGACCAAATTTTACTTCTCAAACTTGTGTAAAAAATCATCTGAATCAATGGCTCTTGCATTTGCATTTGTTTAATATTTGAATCAAATCTAATGCTTGATATTGTATTTGAAATATTCGAATCGTCATATTGGAAAATTATTAATGAATCAGGCCAAAATTGTTTCCTCTGTTTACAATCTTGAGAATATGGGTAGATAGATATAGATATGCCTTCTAAATTAAGAAACAAAGAGTCAGGAAGAGAAAATATGGAAGAGAATTGCTACAACTGTACAACATACAAAGTTTGACACACATATATAGCAATCATATTTGAAATTTGTTTAGATAGACTATACAATTATTTGTGAACACAAACTGTTCAGAGACGATTATGTTTTGTGTATACATCAATATATACGGTGTTATTTTGGCATTACTCAATATGAATAGGTAATTGAAAAAAATAAAATATTATAAAAAAACTTGAAAAGAAAATATTGAGATACTCCAGACAAACATAAACATAATGTATGTGTCCAACAGACATAAAGTGTCTAATCTTTGATGTACAAATGATGAAAATAGAAATAGCTGGTAGATTTTTTTTCATGCTAGGAGTACACCAAAGGTATACCCCATTTGTCCCCACTCCTTTCTCTACCACTCATTTTAATCCCATTTTTATTTATTTAATTTTGTTTTTCTTTTTTTATTTGAAGTAGGAGTAGAAGTTAATCCGTTTCAATTTCCATCGATTTCAACACAATGACTTTTAGTTCATGCTTTGCACTTGGGATAATACATTTCCATTTGTCCTCCTCGGGTCCTGAAGGACTCACTCTCCATTTCATCTACACCCATCCCCCCTTCTCTCTCTCTCTCTCTCTCTCTCTCTGCGCATCCACTCCATCATTGGCTCTTTCAAGAAAAGGTTGAAAAAACAACTTGCGCCTCACATAGTCACATGTAATAATGCATCCATCATCTTTCCAGCCCTCTCTTTCTGGGNATTTCAACACAATGACTTTTAGTTCATGCTTTGCACTTGGGATAATACATTTCCATTTGTCCTCCTCGGGTCCTGAAGGACTCACTCTCCATTTCATCTACACCCATCCCCCCTTCTCTCTCTCTCTCTCTCTCTCTCTCTGCGCATCCACTCCATCATTGGCTCTTTCAAGAAAAGGTTGAAAAAACAACTTGCGCCTCACATAGTCACATGTAATAATGCATCCATCATCTTTCCAGCCCTCTCTTTCTGGGTGGGTGTCAGAATAAAAAACAAGGAAAGTTAGCTGTTTAAATTGACTGAAAGTGCAAATCTTTCATATAATGAATGGTCTTTCAATTAACGAATCAGATCTTTCTGAGTTCGTCGAAGTTGATCCCACTGGAAGATATGGAAGAGTATGTTGTCCTCCCTACCCCGCACAGACCCACCTTTCGCTCCCTTCTCCTTCCAAAACCATCCTTTCCGGTGGCTTTTTACATAAAGTTCTGAGCTTGATTTGTGTCTTGTATTTTTGTTGTTGTTGCAGTACGGTGAAATACTTGGAAAAGGGGCTTCAAAGACAGTGTATGTATACGGACTTATTCCTTCCTAACTTTGCAAATCTATTGAGGTTTTGCCCGAGTCCTATTTTTGTATAGTTTTTGAAGGTCAGTGAAGTTAAATTTCCACCAAAGTTGAAGCCTTTTAGCCTTAAATAGAAAATTGGATAATGGGTAGTCGATGTATTTGGGATCTCCGTTTGGGGCTTGCATTTCCAAAGAGTTCTGTGTTTAAAAAAAATAAATTGGAAAGGTAGGTGAGGAGTTGAGATGGGTCTGAGGTTGATTTAGGATTCTGATTGGGTTTCTGTGTAAAAAAATGGTGCAGTTACAGAGCATTCGACGAGTATGAAGGTATTGAAGTTGCCTGGAACCAGGTCAAACTCTACGATTTCCTGCAAAGCCCAGAAGATCTTGAGAGGCTCTATTGTGAAATTCACCTGCTAAAGATATTGAATCACAAAAACATTATGAAATTCTATACATCTTGGGTTGATACGGCCAATAGGAACATCAATTTTGTGACTGAAATGTTTACTTCTGGAACTCTCCGACAGTAATCACCTCAATTCCTACTCCATCTTTTCTTCATTCTCTCTTTGTTGATTGCCTTCTTGGCCTTTGTTTATTTTTTTCTTTCAATTAGTAAATTTTGGATTGGGTAGTGCAGATATAGGATGAAGCACAAAAGGGTTAATATTAGGGCAGTGAAGCACTGGTGCAGACAGATCTTGAGTGGTCTACTATATCTTCATAGCCATGATCCTCCAGTGATACACAGAGATCTCAAGTGTGATAACATATTTGTGAACGGGAATCAAGGGGAAGTCAAAATTGGAGATCTTGGTCTAGCTGCTATCCTCCGGAAATCACATGCCGCTCATTGTGTTGGTATTCTATTCGCTGTTTTAGACACTGCAGCTACTTTTATTTAGCTTTTTTAATGGTGTACATACTGCACTTGTTTGGTTAAATACAATGATCTCTTGCTTTATGCTTGAGGGGTTAATGTTTTGTTTTCTTGATGATATTCCTATCAATTTCTCCAGGAACTCCTGAGTTCATGGCGCCAGAAGTGTATGAAGAGGAATATAATGAGTTGGTTGACATATATTCATTTGGGATGTGCATATTGGAAATGGTTACTTTTGAATACCCATATAGTGAATGCACTCATCCTGCTCAGATCTACAAGAAAGTCATATCTGTAAGACATTTATCTTGGTCCATTATTTTATCTGATATATAAGTGCTTCCGTAACTTGGTTTTCATTGATTTAGGGGAGGAAACCAGATGCACTCTATAAGGTGAAGGACCCTGAGGTGCGCGAATTTGTTGAGAAGTGCTTGGCCACTGTCTCCTTAAGGCTCTCAGCGAGGGAGCTTTTGGAAGATCCATTCCTTCAACTTGATGAGAGTGAACCAGATTCGATGAGGTCTATAGCGTGCAGGAGAGAGCTTGATTATATGGACCCGATATTAAGACAGCCAATTCTTGGGCTTGATTGCGAAGGAACATCATTTAGCAACGACGTGCTAAATGGATACTGCAATGGTTATGCGTATGATGAAAAGGGTTTGGTTTGCGATCCAAATGAATTTGAGCAAAACGGAATAGAACTTTTTGAGTACAATGATGGTGAATGCGAAGAGCATTCCTCTAATTTGGACATAACTATCAAAGGGAAGAGAAGAGAGGATGGCAGCATCTTCTTAAGACTTAGGATTTCAGACCAAGAAGGTCAGTCGGGTTCATTATAAAATAAAGTGTTATGACCATTTTTTACTTTACTTTTCACCACTCATACTTGGCAAACCCAATTACTTCGTTCATTTGCAGGCCGTGTTAGGAACATCTATTTTCCATTTGATATTGAATCTGACACTGCATTCAGCGTCGCCACTGAAATGGTAGCAGAGCTTGATATTACTGACCAAGATGTTACCAAGATAGCAGATATGATAGATGGGGAGATTTCAAAGTTAGTGCCTGATTGGAGACCGGGGCCCGGATTAGAAGAAACCTCTCTCTTTACGAATTCCACCTTCTGTTTCAACTGTGTTTCCAACCATACTTCTACTGGTTCTTTTATGAATTATCTGTCGAATAATCCGGCTGCCAAGAACATACCTTTATTACAATGCAGTGGCTGTGCTACTCATGGACGATTTGAGGAAGTTACATATCAAGCAAATAGCCCACGCCAAAAAGGCTCTCGATATGAAACCCACACAGCTTCTTCAACTCAAATAAACGGATTTCATCATATGGAATATTGGGATCGCCACGAAATCCTTGAGTGCAGTTCCATATGCTCAGGAGAGAGCCATACTCTTGATGAAAGTGAAAAACAATTTCAAGAAGTTTCGATAGAGGTCGCAAAAGTTGAGGTAAGAGATGAAAAGTAAAGGTTACGTTCAGTGAAAATTTTCTTGGAACCTTAGCTTCTTCCATAAACCAGCTTCTCATCTCTTTCTTGCAAAAGTGGCAGCTTGTCTTTGCCCTCTTCATACATGCCATCCTCTCATCTTGTTATTGCAAGTGTTGTGTTGGCAGTTAGTCTTCTTTCTTTCCTTTTTTTTTTCACACACCATATCATCTGACTTCTCATACAAATTATGAGCAGGAGATTCAGCGGAGTTGAGTTGGTATACAGCAAAGTAGCCAATAGTAGTGATAGAATTTGTATAATTATGAGAATGCGTGATCGAACTCCACTGAACAAAACTATGTGGGACATATAAACTCACAAGAAACTTTACCCCAATCTTTTTTGTTGGGTTTCAAAGTTCTGCACAAATTGAAATGGCAACATATATATAAGAGCTGGCTGCCCTAGTTTCTGGTATCCCCAAGTGCCCGAAAATGTGAGGCGAATATACTCTCTCATCTTAGTTGTGTCCATGTATGTTTACCGCTTTTATTCTCTTAATTATCAACAAATTTCTTTCAAAACAGCATTGAGTTATAGACACTTTACATTGTTGGTTTATACTGTGGAAAATTCATATTCGGGCTTCTATTTTTTCCAAGTTGTAGCCACAATGAAGCCTTTCATTTTGTCTCTTTCATGCTCGGTCGTTCCAATCCAAATTGTGTTTCATGTTTGGTTTAAATGAAAAAAAGGAAAAAAGGGTATTTATAGTCAACGGGCACAAACAAAATAAAACCCAATATACATCAATCAATGAGAAATCAATCTATAACGCCTCATTATGTTCGAACACAAAGGGGCAAAGGTAAACAGGGGAAGAGTTGGTTTGGCAAAACTGCAAGTCCTAGATCGTGATACTTCTTCCGTCTCAAAATGTTTTCGATATTTACTACTTGAGTATATTGATAATTTGTGGAGAAAAAGACTAAAGTAAGGGTAAAACATTAAGAATATAACAAAATAAACGTTTTATATTTTTAGTCTCGAAATAGGAGTTAAATACATGTACAATGTCAATTATGACCATATAAATTACTAAAAAGCATTCTAAAATATCACATTACTATAATGCGAACTCTTATTTTGGGGATAAATGGAGTATGTGGTTTGATTGGTTCATTTTTACTCGGAGGGGAACCCCTCAATTAGAAATCTCCTCATCACTATCACGTCCACACTAGGGGCCTGTTCTTTTACCATGAAAAGTTAATTTCTAATCTTTTTTTTAAATTTTTTTTAAACTTCTTTCAATTTTTTCAATTTCTTCTAAAACTTTTAAAAAATATTTATATATGATGAATATACAATACCATCATATATTCAAATTTATAGCATACCAATTTGATGGTAATACACCAGAGAGAGAGA